AAGTTATTTAAAAGACCGCAGACAATATGTCACCATTAACAATTATGAATCTAAACAATCATCTCTAAACTGTGGTGTTCCGCAGGGCTCGGTACTTGGACCACTATTATTTATTCTTTACATAAATGATCTGCCTTTTGTTGACCCTAATCTAAAATTTATTATGTTTGCTGATGACACCAATCTTCTTGATAGTGATTATGATTTAAATGAACTTATGACTAGAACTAATGCAAACTTGAATTCAATAGATGACTGGATAAAAGCAAACAAACTTTTACTTAATATTGGCAAAACCAATGCTATTCTATTTGGACCCAAAAAATCAAACAAATCTAAATCTCAAAATACGCAATGAGAACATAAATTTCCGGGATAAAATTGACTTTCTTGGAATTATTATTGATAAAAACTTGAAATTTAAAGAGCACATAAAATCTATTGAAACAAAGATTTCTCGCGTCATTGGTTCTCTTTATCACATTAAACATCTACTTCAAATAGACAGTTTCAAAACAATATACTACTCATTGATACACTCTTAATTAAATTATTGCAACATAATCTGGGGTAACACATTTAAATCATTTTATGATCGTCTACATAAACTGCAGAAACAATTCTTAAGACTAGCTTTAAATAAGGATAGACTTTCTCACTCCGCTCCCTTATTTAAAGATCTTAACATATTAAATATTTTTGATGTCAACAGATATTGTACTGGTCAGTTCATGTACAAAATCTTTAATAAGCACCCCAGTCTTCCAAAAAATCTATTTCAAGACTTGTTTGATATCAACATTAATATTCATCATCATTACACAAGACAATTGCATTATTTTCATATCCCTAAATGCTCTAAACTTTCCCTTCACTATCTAGGTCCTAATCTTTGGAATGCTCTACCCCATGATATTAAAAAATGCTCCACTCTAAATATTTTCAAATCTTCATATAAAAAACTACTCATCTAACGATAATGTATAATACCAATATCATACTATACTGTTGATTTTATACTGATACCTGATTTTTGTAACATTTTTACATTGTACATCCTTAGATTAATTGTTAATACCATTTTTATATACCTACATGTAACATAATATAAGTATTTTCTTTTATATGTAGTCTAGATGTCATTTTAATGATTTCTGTTAGACCGCAACATATACCCACTAGGGTGTCTAGCGGCTTGTTTTTATAGTGTATATTATATAAGAACTATGAAATAAATTGAATTGAATTGAATTGAATTATATATTTATTATATATTTTTATTTTTTGGGATCTTGTTTTTACGGCGTTCGCATTAAATACAAACCACTCTGTTACGTCACGTATATGACGTTCGTTGAATTATCGCAATCAAAATGTCAGACGAAATGGAATTTCCATTGCAATTTATCTGACTATTCAATGTTCGCTGGATAATAATTCCCAATGGGATAAACGGACAATCCTATAGTTTTTCAAAAATATCACTTATATCCACTCATGGATATCAGTATCTTCACTCATTCGCTGCGCTCACTCGCGAAGATATCAATATCCACTCATGGATATAAGTGATATTTTTTCAGAGCCATAGGATATTCCTATATTATTCCATAGTTAGCATGATATCCATAGGATAACATGTCAAAATAAAAACGGTATTTTTGAAATCAGTGGTAAAATATGATATTTTTGGCAAATTTTCACTTAACCATAGCATACGGTGTTTTAGCCATGACATGCGGCGTCGTATGCCATGGTTTATGGATTTTTGCTACTTCAGACTCAAAACGAGCCTAAGTGTCAATATCGCCGTATCGTTTGGAAAATTCGTTTTAAATCACTTAATTCCCGAAGATTCTGATGATGACTTTAACTATGGAATATAAAGAACATCCTATGATTTACTCGTGATATGATTTTAATCCACTCATGGATGTTGATATCTGCACTCTCTCGCTACGCTCACTCGTGCAGATATCATATCCATTCGTGGATAAAAATCATATCACTCATAAATCACTGGATATCCTCTATTTAAGATGTGATATTCGATAGTTTAAAAGTGATATTCGATGGTTTGTAAATTGTTTGCTAAAATATGATATCTTGATCCACATATCAAATATATCATCATGTGATATTCGATCTATATCCTCCTTGCAACCATGGGATAAAGCTTTACGTCCCGCTCCAAGCGGGCAGATATAGTATATCTGCCCGCTACGTCATAATCGCCGCTTGCATATTTGTTCATAATTTGTAACGTTCGCGGAATGACTGTAAACGGCAATGGAGAAAACACAGACAATCCGGGTCTGTAGTTAAAAAAAGGGAAAGAGCATCCACTTTATCAATAAAAAATTCGAGAAAATAAATATGGGAATATTTGAGAGAACATGAAAATCCGCCCACGGCCAAGAAAACAAAACTGGACATGAATATTCTAAAATATTTCCACGATTTAACAATGTGAACCAGATGACCAAGATTGGTATGGGATAAACATATCCTATAGTCAGGATATTGGGATTATCCCTTGGCCAATATATAGGGGTTATGGTTATTTTATCCAAAACCTCCAAGTGCATAACTGTTGTATATAGTTTAGCATGATATGTACTTCTTTCTGTAACTGGAATACGATTCTAATATACAAGCAGCACATACGTATTCCCGGGGAACCATAAATATTTTGTGTAGGGTGTGGACATTTTTCTTTTCATTTCTCTAAAATCAGATTATTCTCATAAAATTCATACAAAGTTGGGCCTAAGCCTCTATTTTCGTATTCTGCATGTTAAGATATTTATAATGTAAAACCTAAGAGATAAATTCAATGTCTTCAGTTGAGAATAAGTATAAGGTAAATGTGTGAATTCTGCTTGTTGTTGCACTATTTTTATAATAAACAAGGTTCGATACGCAACACTGAATAGACTGCAGTCATAGCTTAGTTGTAAAGAAAACAAAAGAAGTTGGGACGTGGTCATGCTTGAATACGATTTTAAATATATCGCCGTTTACATTTGTTGAAATCGGCCTGTATTAATTTCAACAGGTGATCGGTGTACAAGGGCATATATTTGAGTTATTGGTTTAACGATAAGTATGACCTATGAGTGGGCAACGTTTTACAAATGCATGAAACAAATACTCCAATGGCCTAATCTCAATTTTCCTGCATAAACTATTACATTGAAATGATGGTCATTTGCTCTCTAACTTCCGCACCGCATACGTAACTTCGTAACAATTCAATAAGCCAAGACAGGACCGCTATAATCGCTACATGCCAGTGAACGTATACTTATACTTATAAATAAACGTACAAGGTGTTTCATAATGTGGGATTTTCGTCAGGAAAGATCTTCTCGGACTGTAATAAATAAAGGTCAAAGGGATGCCATTTGTACTTTCTTGAATTGTAGCATGTTTAGTTGATCCAAATGTGTTTGTCTAGAATAAAACAGGCTCATATATAGTACATATGTTATAGACCCATCTCTTCTCAAATTGACTTTTTGGAGACGCTCGTTATGAAACACCCTGTATGTCATTTGTTGAGCTACTGAATGGGTCGTTTCCAGGAATTGCTAGAACCTACTGGTTTGATTGGTTTTTCAAATCGATGGTTAAAGTATTTGATTGGATACTGTTCATACTCAGCCAATTAATTTTAAAAAATATTTGCGGTCAATTGTTCCACGCACATGTAGTTAAAGCTTTATACGGAGATCCAACTGTATACGTTTATCATCTACGTATTTATACCGTTTTGTAAGTTCATAGAACTTATACTGAGCATGAAAACATTGAAATAATCAACTTGTTTATGTAATGACTCACTTTAAAGGATCATGTTTATAATACGCTACAACTACTAGAACACGGAAGCAAGCATTTAATTATAATGTGCATAATCTACACGTGCAGATGACAGTGCATTCACAGTCTCTAGTTGATGGAGCTTTTCTATATCGGGAATAGTTATGTTCCATTAAGTACAATTTGAAATTGATTTTAGTAAATATAATAGTTCAACATGACCCTTTAAAGTATACGTATACGTATAAGTTGTACTTTCACTTATGTGCGAAATCTCTCTTATATATCATATTTTCTATAGTTTAGTGAATTTCGATCACGAACTGTTCAGAAACAACAGTTAAAACGAAGATTGTCCGCGTCAGTTTTGATTGTGCTGCGTTGAAACCAATGGGGTTTTCTCATTTGCATAATCACGCGACATAGACGGTTATGGTTGATTTCCGAAGCAGGGTAACACACATTTCCAGAAAACACAATCGGCACTTAAATTACATTTCCCTGTTTATTCTGTTCGTATCAACCCTTTTTTAAATGTCATATATTTAAGTTAATCAATTATGTAGCTAGTGATGTGAATGGATTGCAATGCAATAGAGTAAAATAACCGCAAAACGGTACAGAAAAAGGTACCTAGGTCTGAGAAAACATACCCCTCTATACAACATTGTCTAATGAAGACCAAACAAAGCCCCGGATGTCGTGTCGTTTCTCGTTTCGTTTGGTACACAACTAAGCCCCGGGTATTAAACAAGCCCTTGGTGAAACGTTAGAAAGTGAAGAGATTCTATGCATGCACCTGTCCATCCGGGTTTGAAAGGACACCATTATTATTGGTGCAATTGAAAATACTTGACGCATTGTGATGGACCAACTTTGGTCAATCAATTTAGTATATTTTATCGCCCTACAAGTTACAAAGTACCTACAAGATAAGCTTGAATGACGTAGGTGCTTAGTCATCTGAAAACGAAATCTCTGATTTGAACATCTACTAACCTTTCATGTTTATAATTATAAGGACTCATTCAAAATCATAGTACATCCCTTTTCATAAGTTTGGTAATAATAGGTTTTCAAGGATGACATCTCAAAATCTGGCAATATTTGAATCTTAGCTTTGTTCCAATGAGCATGATTTCATGACAATTTCCAAATTCAATTTTATTTTCCAGGGGACAGCTGCAGAATGGCGGACAGTGTTTTATATTTGTGCTGGGGTCTACATATTTGGACTTGCCGTATTCTTGATCCTCGCAAAAGGGGAGGTCCAACCGTGGGCCACAGCTAGCAGATACACAGAAGAAAACTTTCCTATGGATGAACACATCCAAAAGCGCCTCGTTGATAAACAAGATAAAACAAGATAAACAACTCGAACTGATAACGAATGAGGAATGACCAATCTAGAAAACCACAATCAAAAGCATGATTGATTTAAAAACTGAAAATTTTTTGTCATGAGCCTATGCGAAAGAGGTTATTCTTTGAAATAATTGTCAAGTTTATTTCACAAGCCTATGCGAAAGAGGTTATTCTTTGAAGGTCAGATAAAGAAATATATCATATATTTTCACCCGGTCATTCTAAAACTGAATAAAACAGGTTAAATTAACGAAAGTTCCATATTTCCATATTTTCACAATTGTACATGATATGTTCATACAGATACAATATCATGAAAAATCTGGTATCATTGGTATCATATGAATACGAAAAAACTGATAATCATATTGAAAACATGAAATTGGATGCTAGTTCATCTTTGGTTTTATTTTTTTTCTTTAAACCTTGAGATATGAGTAAATACATTTGAGTTATTCAATAATTCTTATAACACAATCGTACTATCGACCCATTGGAAGTTATTTATATGCTTGTGATGTAATCACTTAATAGGGAGGTTAAGATTAGCGTAAAATATACGTGTACCTATCCCTATTCGTATGTTTGTTACGGATGCGTATAGGTAATGCGTATTGCAAAATGAGTTTAAGATTAACGTAAAAAGCTACGAAACCGTATGCTACAATCTATGATAAAAATGACATCCTAATTATAGAATGAAAACCATGCGATGGCTTATATGGTATATACCAGTACATGTCACCTCCAAGAATGTTATATACTTCAGAGAGAGTGTGGTGTAGCTACTGTAGTTGGGAGGGGGTGTTGCTTGTGGGCCCCCTAATAAGACAGTGACTTAAGGCGAAATGTTAAATTTCTAGCATGATCCAGCAATGAGAGTGATCAAAATAGTAAAGTTAAACAATTCAAACCACGAGAAAATGGCTGATTTCATGCATTTACAATAAGCAAAACTTATGAAGAATGTGTTAATTCAACAATTTCATGCATCATCACATGGCATCGTTTATCGCATCAATGAATGTGTTCGACCACTTAATTTCTATGCAGATCGAATGAGAAATGTTTGTTGTTACTATTTTAAAGTTTAATGTATGATTTTTGATCTAGAAATGACATAATTTGTTTGATAAAAACATACGTTTTCGAATTACCTATCTTTGGCCATTTATAGGTAATTACGTATCGTAAACCCTGTAACTTAGGTAAAATACCGCTTAGTGTAATAACAAACTACGTATAGGTATAGGTAAATGGGTTATTTACGCTAATCTTAAACTCCCTAATAACCCAATGTCAAACACTCAAGCAAATTGGCCTTTATAGCGTCAAAAAGACACTTGTTGTATTATTTTGACATTTGAAACTTGAAATGACCAACCTGACAGAAAAATGATATTTGACTTACAGTAAAGATACGATTTACTGTTCACCTATTAGAGAGATTTCGCACCTAGTGAAAGTACAACTTATAACGTATACTTATACTTATAGGTAAACGTACAAGGTGTTTCATAATGTGAGCTTTTCGTCAGGAAAGATCTTCTCGGACTGTAATAAATACAGATCAAAAGGATGCCATTTGTACTTCCTTGAATTGTAGCATGTTTAGTTGATCCAAATGTGTTTGTCTAGAATAAAATAGGCTCATATAGTACATATGTTGTAGACCCATCACTTCTCATATTGACTTTTTGGAGATGCTCGTTATGAAACACCCTGTATGTCATATGTTGAGCTACTGAATGGGTCGTTTCCAGGAATTGCTAGAACCTACAGGTTTGATTGGTGTTTCACATTGATGGTTAAAGTATTTGATTGGATACTGTTCCCACTCAGCCAATTAATCTTTAAAAATGCTTGCGGTCAATTGTTCCACACACATGTAGGCAAATCTTTATACGGTGATCCAACTTTATACGTTATCATTTACGTAAATATACCGTTTTGTAAGTTCATTGAACTTATACTGATCATGAAAACATTGAAATAATCAACTTGTTTATGTAATGACTCACTTTAAAGAATCATGACTCCCTTTAAAGGATCGTGTTTATAATACACTACAACTACAAGGACACGGAAGCAAGCATTTAATTATAATGTGCATAATCTACACATGCAGATGACAGTGCATTCATAGTCTCTAGTTGATGGAGCTTTTCTATAACGGGAATAGTTATGTTCCATTAAGTACAATTTAAAATTGATTTTAGTAAATATAATAGTTCGACATGACCCTTTAAACTATACGTATACGTGTAAGTTGTACTTTCACTTATGTGCGAAATCTCTCTATTGTTAATAGAAATGTCCTTATAGATGGCTAAAATTGAATACGAAAACATGTTTGGGTTTCATCATTGATTTCATTGTATCATAGCTATAGTGTCCATTGCTACACCTGAAAATTATTGAATTAATGAAAATGTTAACTATGCAATCGATCACAATAAATGTTACATATGAGATAAAACTAATTTATCAGATAGATTTTAAATATTAATATTTGTTTAAAATGACAGTGAAAAAGTATGAAGCGTACGAAGACAGATCAATTATGAGAATAAGACAAGCAAATAATCTTATAACACACAAGTGCAACTAATTGTTATTTTGGACTCGTACATTTCATTAACGAAAGGTCCTGGATTGTGTTTTGATAGGACTAAGACAATTCGAAGGTAGGCTTATTATTAATACGGACTGAGTGAGGGAAGCATGTTTGTGAGCGATATGCCGCGCTACACAGGGGCCTCGCCTGAACCTAGATTTGGCGAGGCAAATCTAAATAGTCGAGGTAAAGTATTAATGACAATAATATGAGATGAATTATCATAAGACTACTCCCGTGCAATATTTGTATGTACGTTTGAGATCTCATGAAATCCTATTCGGTAATATTTAGAAAAAACTTGTTGACTATGATCAATATTGATATTTTGATGTAGGCATATTTTTTACTAATTTTAAAAGGTCAATACTAACTGGCGTTTAATGTAGTTTTTAAAGTTTCATCAGATAACTCTAGTTTTAGTACCATCACCCCTTTTTAATATTTGAAATTGAATTCTACAACGGCCATCGGAAATGTTGAAATTCTCAAGAAATAGTGCACTATGATTTGTTTATCACGTTAAAAGTTTATTTTTTGATGAAAGAAAAAATTGTTATTGTCGTCTTATTTCTTTTGGGACACCTTGTATATAAGCAAATTTGTTTTTGATGATGGTTGGCGGGCTTTTCCGGTATACATGTAGATACAGTTCTAATCTTTCCGCAATGATTAATATTGACTAATATTTGATGTTTTAATGCAATTGCCTTTTTGAGCTATTAGACTGTGGACTACTCTGATAATTGTAACTTCTGCTTTTCATGGAAGGTCACACATTCCAACATATTTCAAACAGTCTGTATGATTATGCTGGGCACTTTCTGGGTAGTTGGACTTCATGTAGGGGTGGCAGACGTCCCTCAGGCCAATTTATACCCCTACCCTAAGAAAACCTTGGGGGTACTTTAATACCACCTAATAAAAAGAATACTAATGCATGTCATACATTCATAGTTTTTTAGTAGGCAGGGCATACCATGGTTAGTCAGTGCCAGAAATTTCCAATCTCTAACTTATATGGTTACCATGGAAACAGTATTTATATCTCAAAATCTTCTCAATTTGACCTCCTCCCAAATATGTCCCTTCGCTCTCAAAGTGAAATATTTGCAAATTTGTTAGGAATTTGTGGCTACCACTTTGTCAAAAGTTGTATAAATATGTATATAGTCACACTAAAGCACTAAAAAGTTGATATAATGCTCCAATAAATCAATAATATTTATCAAATATAGTCACACACAACTACTTTTAGGGAAAAGTGGGCGTGGCACTTTTTGGTACTTGCGTAATTGTTGCAGCATTAAGCGAAAAATACATATTACACTAACAACAATTGACATTTAATTATCATCTACTAACATTGTGTAACATTGTAATATGTTCATTATCATTATTAGATACTTAAGATATTTTATGTAAGTGTTATCATGAACCTTCCTTTTATCCCTATACCATAGAAGGTGGGCATCACCAATGGTGTCAAACTAACTTTTCTGTTTCATTTATTTTTTACCATAGACAGGGGAAAAAGCTTTACTTGAAGAAGTGACCTCATTAGGTGCTATGTAGATGGATTGATACTAGTAGGTAGATGGCAGCACTTGTGCTAGTTGGGCTAGATACTAGTGTTTACCATTGACTTGACATATTTCACTTAGTCTATTGATTTACCATATTCATTCTGTTGGATTAAAGTAAACCTGCATTTGCAATGAATTTGATGATGTTCAGATTGTGTTTGAAACTTAATGATAATCAGATTGTGTTTGAGACTGGATGTTGTTCAGATTGTGTATATACGAGCTTTAAAAGGACCACTGAAACAATAAGTCAATGTTTAAGATTCTTTAAAATTATGTCAATGAGAAATTAGCCTGTTAACCTATAGTTAAACTATACTTCAGCAAGATTTTAAAGCTATATAGCAAATCTCATCATTTGCAACTTCATTATTTGATAATTTAACCCATTATTCTTTATTGCTGATTAAAAATTGCAAGGCATTTAAATGACCTAGGGAAGCCAGTGATATGAATTGGCCTTATTCATTGATTTACAGTAAAATGGAATATTGTGAAGAACAAGAGAACTGTTCCACAGCTTCACAGGAAATATGGGAGCAAAGTCAACAAGGGATGTGGGAAACTAGGCTGTTTACATAGAGAGATTTAGAACTCTCCAGGGAAGTGTCTCTATTTGGTATAAAATACACAGGTCTATTCATGCATACCATTTTAAATATGAATCAAAATTAGTGATATCCATGTTTCTGGTGAAAGCATCAATTGAAAGAGACAAACATCCTACTCTTATGGTATAAAATATAAGGAAGTTCGAAGCAGTAAAAAGGTATTACCATTTTAGATTTGATTGAATAAATTGAATCAGTGGCAATTACCCAAATGCGAGTAGGCAGTTACCAGTTTCACCACCAGGTGGCTGATTCGGGTCAATTAACATGGCAGGTATATAAGAAAGTTCCCTTAAACTTGAATATTATCAATTTAAGTGGCTCAATTTTCATATAACCCTTACGTGTCTGATACTTATACTCATGAAAATATATCCAGGAAAGCAAAATATTATCTGTCCACTTAAAGAAAAGATATTTCATTTTTTGTGATTTTATAGCATGGGGTCTATGGGGAATCTCCCCGAGCTAGAAGTCACATTTTCAAAGAAAATTAATTTTTCAAAGTTGATAAACACTTTTTAAAACCACATTTCTAAATGTAATTTTACATGTAGATTTCAAATATGATATTACTTTGACTGAATTTTGCATTTTTAATGACGTAAATCAAGATTATTTCTACTCGCATCTGGGTTATTTTTAAATTTTGATATGTTAAAAGAGGCTCTGTTGGTTAGATGGGAGAATTAGCTGCATGTTAAAGGTGGCGTTTTGCTCAGTTTATAACAAAATTGATATTTAGCCCGAAACAGTAATAAATATTAAGCAAATATTTCATTCTATGGAGGGCAATACCTACGGGCTGTGGGCAATACATATTGCAAAAATCATTGAAGGTGCAGTTGTCAGAATCCCCAGGCGGGCAATACGCAGGGCAATAAGGGATACATATTTTATATGCCAATAATTCAGGCAGCTGTGAAATACGCTATGGTATTTTTAGTCCCATGGTACTGAATTAGCCAATCAAATCACACGATTAATAGCAATGATGTAATAATTAGTGCTACTTCCATGAACACCCGTTTTGTAGAATAAGATTCTGATTCTCGTAAAAAAATGTGAAAATACAGGCACAAACAAAGTGCATTTCGAAACTCTGCTTTTGGATATTGATAAATTGAATGATATTGGCTAAAAACTTCTGTCAGAATTGAAACAATTTTTTCTCAAGAAAAGTCAACATTTCAAAACAACAGCAATAGCTAGAACTATCCTATTTAGATGTTTACTTGACAGTATGTAGAATTGGGGAATCCGGACAGAGAATATTAACAGAAGTAGAAAGATTGATAAAGAAAATGGAGTTTTAGTGTGGGAGGGGGGGGGGGGGCATGTAATTGTATACTTGTTTATGTAACAATCATTTCATAAAATTGATAAAAGGCATATTCTAGACAAGGATAGGCATTTGCCATCATAAACTATGAGGGATTATGACTCATAAACTCAACTACTGGTATGGACATTCGGGGTAGTAATATGGAACATACGTTATATGGAAACTGTAACCTTATAAGATCTTGTCCAATTTCAGTCATACCTGATTATAAAGGACCATTTATGTTACAGCATCAGGGCATATTACGTATAGTATTAAGTTACTTAGGTATGAGTTATAAATTATGACTGTCATCATTTCTACTGTGCCAAAATCATTCAACCAATTTTAAAATGGAATATGAGAACAAGATTTCTTATTTTAGGTTATATTCATATGTCTAATAATAATTGATATTAAACATATTTACTTTTATTGTTCTTATACACTAAACAGATTTGTTTAGATATTATTTTTAGTTTCAACATAACAAACCACTATCCATATTGAAGGAATCGCTGAAGGTACAGCATTTTGGAAATGTGTATTGCGAAATACTAAAAGGAGTTATACCCGTACCTTGTTAACCATGAGTCAATGAATGCATCATATAATATCTGCAAAATGATGCACTATGCAATTCATACATGGAATGATTTATTTTGCCATATTAGAATCAAGTATTATCTTTAATCCATTTGATAGATCAGGCATTACCTGATGTTGATGTATTGATAATAGAATCAGTTAGTCAATTGTGAGACACCATTTGTTTGAGAAAATAAGAAATCTTAGTTATGTATTAAGGTAGGGCATAACATTTCACCTATCATTTATTCATGTTTACTACATCCCCTTTAATAGTTAGTATTACCTTCCCTTTTAAAGCGGAGTGAGATATCGTTGAAATGTGGCGCTCATGCACGATATATGAAAAAATTATCATACTCCATAGTTCCACTGTCATTTAAGCCCGATTTGGTACAAATGTCAAAGCATAATGCCAACTCTAAAGTAGTTTAATTCAATGAAAATAAAAAATATCTAAATCGACAATTACCGTCCGCCATCTTAGATGCGAAGGTTACGGCCGTTGCCTTCGCTTGGTGCTGATCAGTGTCCTTGCTCTGGTACAAATTGTCATTGCCCTCTGTTTGTAACCCCTCCCTCCTTCTCGATTAAGGCCATGAATATGAAGATGATTTAGAGGTATTATGAGAGATACTAGTGAAGGGTTGTTTTATGATAAATGAGTTCATATAACTTAATCCAAGTCATAACAAGTATGCAAATCACACCAGCATGAGATAACATCATACTCAAAGGATGGAACAGTCCATTTACTTTTCAATTGCATAAAATGGCTCTAACCCTGACAAATGTATTAATCAATTTTAACTCATAGCTCTTGATCAATGGAACCATTCATATTCTAGGTACAAGTCAATGAATATGACTTTGACAAACTGAAAAGACTAAGGACCTCTAAAAGTCTAAAAGACTAAAAGTTAATTTGACCATTGATGACCTATGATAGGGAAAGGTCATGATAACACTTATATAAAATATTTAAAGTATCTAATAATGATAATGAACATATTACAATGTTACACAATGTTAGTAGATGCTAATTAAATGTCAATTGTTATTAGTGTAATATGTATTTTTCATTTAATGCTGCAACAATTACACAAGTACCAAAAAGTGCCACACCCACTTTTCCCTTAAAGCAGTTGTGTGTGACTACATGTGATAAATATTATTAATTTATGGGATCATTATATCAAGTTTTTAGTGCTTTAGTGTGAATACATACATATTAATTCAACTTTTGACAAAGTAGCAGCCACAAAATCCAAACAGATTTGCAAATATTTCACTTTGAGAACTAAAAGGACACATTTGGGACGGGGTCAAATTGAGACGATTGTGAGATATAAATACTGTTTCCATGGTAACCATATAAGTCAGAGATTGGAAATTTCTGGCACTGACTAACCATGGCATGCCCTACCCACTATAAAACAATGAATATCTGATATGCATTAGTATTCTTTTTATTGGGTGGTATTAAAGTACCCCCAAGGTTTTGTTGGGGTAGGGGTATAAATTGGCCTGAGGGCCGTCTGCCACCCTTACATAAAGTCCAACTACCCAGAAAGTGTCCAGCATAATCATACAGATTGTTTGAAATATGTTGGTATGTGTGACCTTCCATGAAAAGCAGAATGCATTTCTAGAGCACTTCTACAGAATAGTCCACAGTCTATATTGATCTTTTTGTTTTCTTAATCTGATTTGTGTTGTCTAGTATGATATTAATTACACAAAATCTTCATATTGAGTCATAATGCCTAATGAAATCGAAATCTTCCTGGGTTAAGCATTGATGGGTTAAATGATTTGATCTTTTGGGATGCCATTTTAATTGCGAAGACCTAACTGGATCCTTAACTAGAACCCTATTCAAGAGTACATACATACATGTAGGGTATATCTTAATGGGTTATATGGTTTGCTAAGACCTAATTTGATCCTATACTTGAACCCTATTTTTTCATTTGTTTTATTCAGCAGATATATTACATATATTTAATACAATATACTAATCAGCTTGATATCATTTTGAATTTCACGATTACATGTATAGGGTACAGGGGCGGATCCAGGATTTCAGGTTAGGGGGTGCGCCTTGATTTTTGAATTTGAGGTCGATGGATGAACAAAGGAGGCTGGAGACCGACAAACACAAGGTCCCCGGGAATTTCGAGAATTTGAATGCCATTTGCTGCGATCTGATCATTTTAAATATTTTTAAATCATTGTACCGTAGAGGAGATAGGGGCATTCTCGGCCACGGGGCATTCCCGGACAAACCCTTGGTATCAGGTGAAAATCTGGGACAAAGTTAGAATTTTTACAATACATAGCACCACATCTATAATATGATGTGTCTAATACAAAGTTTCAATAAAGAAACCATATAAAACAAAGAATTATTGAAGATCGTCCGACAATGCCCCATGTCCGAGATTACCCCTTACCAAAAGATTGCGGATAATAAGCTTACATAACTGGTGGTACATGTACTATCTAGACAAGTCGGAGGAACGTGTACGCAGAATGCGTATTGATCAAGATAAGTTCTTGAAACGTTTATTGCAAATGGACTGAAAAACTGGATCTGCAATGAATTAAAAGTTTTATTTTTCTTAGATAACGCCAACATTCTATTCTATTATTGTTTTTGGTAAAATTATTTTCATCAACCTTCGGTTGAAATCGTTTTAACTGAAATCTTAATTAAATTGAACATCCCAAACATATTAATGATAACGTGTGACATATCAGACGATGTTACATGTGTCCATTTTCATGATTCAAAAAGACGTAACACAATTTAATCATGACATCAATTTTGATTAATAAGCTATTGAAATGTGAATTTAATTGTTTTACCAAAGTGAAATTGGTCATCTATAGCGTCCGAGAAATAAAACAATTATATTTCATCAGAAAATTAGACTGTGCGATTTCAAAGATCAACGTTTCCATGGGCTTTCTAATTGAAAACCAATGTCGTTTCCAAGCAGTGCATTATTTTGCATCAGAGGCATTTTAATATTGAAGCAGTTTTTGAATTTACACCTTCAAAGTTCCAACGCTCTATTGTTGACATGTTATCGGTTTTTCACTTTCAAATGTCTCTGCTTGAATACATGTATTTTTCTTTGATATTAGTCTATCTAATATCTATGCCGGATTTTAGGGGGAGCGCGCGTCCCGCGCGCACCCCCCTGTATCCGCCACTGGGGTATATCTTAACGGGTTCAATGGTTTGTGAAGACCTAACTGCATGAATCCTAAACTGGAAATCTGCTCATGAGTACAAGTAAAAGGTTTATCTAAATGTACCCTTTGCAATCGTTCCACTTCACTTCTAAAAAGAGAGCTTCGTCTTCACTCTTTCAGTTTACAATAAAGCTCTTATCTCACCGAGTCAATCAGAGTTCCTTGTCGTCGTAGTTCATAAGTAAACTCTGCGCGCAGAGAAATCTTAATGGGTTCAATTGTCTGATCTTGTAGGTTTTTTACTTTAATTGCAAAGAACTAAATGTTTTGAAATATAAAAACAAGCTTTATTTCTCAAAGTAAATGAACTTCGGAAAACGTATTCTTGGTAAATAGAGATGGTAAGAATGATGAATAATTCATTGGTAAACATATACCATTTAAAGATTAATGTCATGGCCAACAACCATCTTCTAGACTAAACCGTATCTCATTTTAAACGCAATTCATTGTAAAGTAATAAAGTTAAATATAACTAATGTTATTTACAATTTTCGGCAAATCAGTCAATCCTAACTCCATTGATCATTAGGTTCTGACTAACTTTCAAGGAATGAACAAATCTAGATATATCCGTAGCAGTTCTACCCTTTGTCTCTTTATAAGATCTGTCTAATGAACTAAGATTTGACCTTTTTGTTTATTACCTCTATAATATACTCCTCTTAAAAAAGTTAAGGATCAGTCTTTTTCCTCATGGGTTTACATGTTAAACTCTATGTATGTTTGAACTCTTATTTCCAAAGCCTGAAACGAAAGAAAACTGATAATGTAATTGAATATGTACCTTGACTCTATTCTCTATATTTCAGAAATTTTTCAATTCAATCTCTCCTTTACAATATGTCAAAATTGATGTCAAACTTGAGGAATTTACAAAATTGGCAGAACCCATGTTAACCAATGGGAATGGTTGGGTTGCCAAAAAAGAAAAGTCATATAAAAATATCCATCCATTCAATTGCTTTCAAAAATGGAATTCAAATAGACAATTGAATTTGCTAACCTGTCTACAACAAAAAAATGATTTGTTTCTCAAGGTTTTACAAAGTTATGAGTCTCAAATGTCAAAATCATTTCTCATAAAACCTCTCATTGGAGTAACACAGGGGGTCAAAATGAGTTAAACGCTAATCCTCTATATCGGTAATTCTCACAAAGTAATTAAGCTTAACACCTTTTCCCATTGGTTAACATGGGTTCTGCCATTTTTTAAATTCCTCAACTTTGTCATCAATTTTTGACCTATTGTAATAAAGAGATTAAATTGAAAATTTCCAGCTGAAATATGGAGAATAGAGCCAGGGGGCCCAGGGTACATATCCATACATATTATCAGTCTTTGTTTCATTTCGGGCTTATAAAATAGAGAAGATACATGTAAACCTATGAGGAAAAAGACTGGTCGTTAAGCTTTTTTGAGGAGTATATACATGTACAATATAATGTGAAAATAACTTTGTGCGAAAAAACAGTAGTATTTATACTTCAGTCACCCTGGTGATGTTTATGTTATCCTAGGTTGGCGTCAAAGAGGCTATAGTAATGACAAACATTAAGCATAAACATATCGTTATCATATCATCGTGTTTTCCTGCTTTTTACTGTTAACTGTAATTGTTTCCCGATGGTCCTTGACACCTTGTTATGGCATATTATGTCATGTCGTTATAGTATACGTTAAGGTGGTGCTGGTAGGAATATATCATTTATTGATGCATGTACGCATGACGCTCCACGCGTAAATCTAAGTAACTTCAGAGTAATTCAGCCAGCTTGACCTACCTATACTAAAGCTTTTAAGTAAATATCAGAAAAATAAAATCCATGATGCTTAACAAAATAATTGCAGAATCAAATTGTAAGTTATCAATATATTCAACACTAAAACTCCCTCAGAATGTGAAACAACGTGTAATAAATCACAAGACTGAGAGTTCTTGATGGGTCAGTGAATATAGATCTCTTATTAATCGATTGCTATTGATAGCGTATCATTTAATTCTTTCTTTCTAATTATTCCAGCGACTAATCACAATACAAAGTATCTTGAGGTGTTCTCGTCACATTCCTTGACGCTGCTTGGATACAGTTAGATTCAGGTAAAGTAAAGAAATAAAAATACTCTAGTATCTAAGGGGTTAAAGACGTTGTTGTCAACACGATCGTAATAATTATGTGATGATGGGTGACAAAGTAACAAAATGAAAATATCTCAGGGGATGTGGCACGTTCCAGTCATCGCGATCTTGATAATAATGTCAAGATGGGCGACACAGTAATGAAATTAAAAATACTCTGGTATCTAAGGGATTAAACGCGTTTTATGTCAACATGATCGTTTTATGTCATGATGAACGACCAACTCAGAGATGTCATTATTCATTGATTTAGAATTAAACGATGCAATTCCTTTTCGTTTTAATGCTAGTTATCATTCTGAATACATGTTATCTACCAATGGATTGATATGCTTGATCGAAATAGCCTTCGGCGTAGCAAATATCAGTGAATCGCATATGCAGGGGCGTAGCCAGCTTTCAGTCAGGGGGGGGGGGGGTTGCGATCGCCAAAAAAAATTGGGTTTCCGTCAGGGGGTGCGATTGTGGCATAAACAAGCCAAAAAAATTCTTTTACGTCATGGTTATATTTGTATTGGTTATGGGGGGAGGGGTGGGGGTTCGCACCCATCGCATTCCCCTGGCTTCGCCTATGATATGTGACAGCCGTCTTTAAATATTTCAAATTTAAGAAATATGGCACGATCAAGGGGAATATAAATTGTTTAAAAAATCATAAAAGTATGTTTCATGAACATTCAACTATCAGCTTCCTCACTATTAACTGACCTTTTGAGACTAGAATGAAACCATAACATCCTTTTCAATAAAGAAAACAATAATAATGATGATGATGAATCTTTAATGCCTTTTTATGTGCGAATCAATTCAGATTTATGGGTCACAAAAGAATAAAACAAACAAACAGTTCACTAAACTACTATTTGTATGCACATTCATATTTTTCATTATTTATTTGTTTGTTTATTTGTCCAGTCAGTATGGCACTGGAAATCCCGATTTCAACGAATGAGAAAAACGCTAGTTTTCAATCAACGTAATAAAAGAGAAGCATGGTGACTAAAAGCATGAAAAAACAAATATCAAAGATAGATTGGATCGCGTTGCATCTCCTTGTATTGTTTTACATTTATTATATTTTAATATATTGAAAGTTAAGTTGCATTTCATTATATTTTTCCATTTCATTGAATTGTGTTTCATTAGAGTCTATTGTTTATCATTATATAAAAGTGGACATTATACTGTATTGTATTGCATTGTATTGTATTGAATTGCATTGTATTGTATTGTATTATATTGCATTGCATTTTTGTTATTTTGTATTCCAGTGAATTGACCTGGGAATTAATTGATAGATATTATAATTTATTTTTATTCTATTTTCTTTATATCATCTTTCTAAGAAAATACCTATCATTATTTAAAGACAGTTAGTGTTTAATAAATTGTACTTGATTAAACATTTTGTTTTTAGTAAGTTCATGAAAACTACGTAAATAAATCATCCATCGTGTTGCCCAAACACGAAGTTCATCGAAACATTAAAACAGGACGAATGGTTCATAAATTCACCGCCATCATTGATGATTATAAAAGGGAACTGATCGGGAATATTTATTCATTCATTCAAGGTTGTCAACAATGATGGAGATTCCCCAAGCGAGGCTCAAATGGATGTGGTTTTGTATTGCGATTGTCGCCTATCTGGCGCTAGAAACTTCAAGTGCTGAATTGAGCAAAGAAAAAATTGAAAAAATTATTAAAAAATTAAGCGACTATGAGAAAAAACAAAAAATAAACGAAGATGGAATTAAAGTAGCATTGGGTAAGTCAATCGCCAGTTGATATGTGAAACATTTTAATAAAAAGGTGCTTCAAAAACACATTTTTTTGTCGAGAACTTTGAATCTATCACATATTACGGATATGGTAATTAAGGGGTTTTACACTTATGTACTGATAACGTTGTAAAAACCAATATCAACTGAGTGAAAGCTCATCAGTTAGATTCAATATTTTCAACAATCGATTTCTTGGTATATGGATACATAAAGAGGATTTGAAGTATCATCTCCTATTCAATCTAATTAGGGGTCATTCACGTAACTTGTGGAAATTACATCACAGGTGACTATCTTAATATAATGGCAGTTACAATAAGAAATGATGTTTGTTATTTAATGTATGGGCACTAAAGGGCAATACTTTAATAATGACTATCAGGTTTTAATGACGGTCATTCCATCTAATCAAGTGATATCAAAGAATGTTTCTCATAATATTAGAGTATACGTCTCGAGAGATGTAGTGAGTATCAAAGAGGCTATCATTATGAGTTCATTTTTATAATTCGACATTTACATCTTTCTCAATCTCAAAATAGCACGGCACAATGAAATATTGTATTTGATGTTCATATTTTACTAACGCAGCTGGGGTAAACGCACCGACAACCACAACCAAAAAGCCACCGAAGGTAAAAAAGGAGAAGAAGCAAAAGGACCGAAAAGATAACTCTGTCGACGAGGAGAGCTTTCCAGATCTATTACGGATTCCGGACTTTACATTTGGAGATGACGTTTCCGGTATTTATAGCTATTCGTTCATTCTACATTTGCATTTGGGTTTCAAAAGGAACTAATTCAGAAAATCAGTGTTTGATAATATGGATCGTTTTCATACATACCTTTCCTTAGTCTACAATCCAATCACACCAAACGGGGAGGTGATTTCAAATTCTGAATCATTTACAAATTCGAAGGCGATCATACCGTTCTGTAATCAGATCGTGTGACAACGTTCTTTGAACGAGATGACCTACTAGACTACGAACGTAATTGCAATACTTCGACCCTACTTGGAATGCATTAATGAGGATGTGCAATTTATGGCATTATTTTTGCTTCTTTATTCATTAAATTCAAATATATTCGATATATGAAACATTTATATTCGCTAAATCATTTTTCCATTCGGTAAAAACGTTTATATGTTTGTTACAGCAAATTAAGTTTTCAAAATAGCCAATCGTTAAATGATATTTTCTGCGTAAATTGTTATGGTATTCCTTAAGAGTAACACATTATATGCACAATATTGAATTTCTATTTGAACCCTACCGAAATAAGTTTGCCTATATTTACCAAATGGTTTATTTTTCTATGACATAGTTAATGCATTTTACCGAAAGCTAATTTGCTATTTACCGAATGCAATAAAGTAATATTCGATAACTTGCGTTGTTGTTCGATATTTTGTCACGTGACTTCGAAATTTGCAAAATGGCCGCGCAGCTATTCTACATCGTACAAATATGGCCCAAATGCCCTAATACGTCACTTCCGCTGAATAGAAGAAAGTAGTTTTCAAAAGTGAATGTAGTCCCAACACAATTGTGATCATGACGAGTCAGTAAGCTAGTATGTAGGCACAGTTGTCATCTTTTTGCAATGACAACATGCCATTTCTTCTGAAAATGCGTTTATTTGGGTTATCTGAAAGAAAATTTCGAATCTAATGGCGTATTAATTTTGCCTTCATTTTTATGAATTTCAATTACTGTCGGCAGAGAGAGGGGGTAGTGTCACAATTGACCAATTATTTCAAAAAGTAGATGATTGGCCCCTATTGAGTTTAGTGTCAAAATGTAGCTTAGACATAGGTTTAGAACCTCAGATAGGCCAGTGAGGCCACGTAAATCCATAACTCGAGATAAAAAGTCAGGCGTTTGCCCTTTTGCCCATTGACTAGTATGGTGACATGAATTAGGGCAGTTTGGCCTATTAGTCACAGTGAGAGTGACCAAAAAACTTTCAAAACTACTCAGGATCGCCCAGAATTGAAGTTTATTAGTATGAAACATATTCTGGACGTAGGCAAAAAGGGAATTTTCATGAACAAATTTAAAGTTTTTGCTGAATCAGCAGTTTTCGCTTTTTACCCCAAAAACCACTTATTTTGACGATATTTGGCTACAATTTCGTCCTTAATGACCCCAAGATGTCATATGTTGTCGTAAATGGGGAAGCCAATGAGTTGCTGTTCATAATAAAGTTTGAATTTTCTATCTTATGGTTTCTAGTAAAGAATGAAGGTACATATCAGGGGTGCAGTCAGAGATTGGTCAGTTAAGTGTCAATTTTTGATGTATTTGTCCACTCTGAATGACCAAATTCGAGCTAAAACTATCTCAAAAGTCCCAATTCTCTAGGCCAGAGTCAAATCTGATCAAATTTGTCATCATTTTTCAAATCAGGAGGTTGTTGAATGGAATAAAATATCAAAAAATGATAATTTTAGTAAAATTTTGCCTAAGTAGGCCTTTGCTCAATTGTCTGGTTCATGGTTCAGTGATTTTGGCTAAAAATCGCAATATGCAATAAACAAACTCAATTTCTTGACACGACATTGTAAAATGTCACCATCAGGCAGTAGATTTCATGATGTAAATGAAAAACTAGTCAAATTTAAAGGAAAACCATTGGGTTCTTTGGAAAATGACCCCAGGGGTAATAAGGTAGCCATATTTTTCATAATTGCTGTCAGAATATTCTTAAACTGCACAAAACAACTTGAAAAACTCTAGTAAATTGGAAAAACGCAATTTCAAGCCAGAAATCATCCAACCATGTTGCTTTTATATCACGTGACTGAAAGTCTCGTAAATTATCGAAAAATAACGAAATTTATCGAATGTGGCATTCGGTATTTACCGAATATAAATAATTTAAATACCGAATGTACAAATAATTAATTGAATTATACGTGCGTTAAGGAAAAGAAATTGATTCGCTGCATCACACAAATACATGTATAAATATCAAATGTGAATGTCAATACAAAGAACAAGTGAAACTATTTAGCGAATATAAATTGTATAGATTATTACATTTGATAAAATAAAAAAACATTCGATAGATTGGGTAAAGGTTTGGTAAATTGTTTGTTTTATTTGGTATTTATGGAATATTAATGTACCGAAAAAAGAAGCAGTTTAAACACCATAGCAATTGGAGTAATTGAAGAATGTGTGTACAGTGTACACCGACATGGTGCGACCTGGACGAACTGCGAACGAGATTAACGTGTTGAACACTGTTTAGGAACTAAGTAGCTATATATTTTAGACATATCTCATACGCGTTTCCCAGTTTGATTTTCAATCACACTGACCATTGGTGCACGTTAAAATCCAGCGCACAATCAGATGATTTGTTTGTTTTACTCTAAGATCTCATTGGTCAGATTCCTTTTAAACCATAGTTGATGGCATAGCTGCTCATCTTCTATTTACCTTATACATAAAAATTAGCATAATGTAGTCTGGATAAGATAATATCTCATTCATCAGAGTCATCAATCTATGGGTTTTGGGCAGAAATTTCAGCCTGATATTCCAAGGTATGAAAACATCATACCTTGGAAATCCAAGATGGACATATCTCCCGACCACTGTTAATTTTAGCCCGTTTTACGACTTTTCGTAGGACGGTTGAGAAGTACTTTGGTGTGATAAGGGGGGGGGGGGGGCTACTAGGTTTATTGGATGGCATGTCTAAGGTACACTCAAGGCAGCTTATGCATTGCTAAGAGTGTTAGGTATTGCTACTTCGAGGTAATGGTCAACTAATGTAAATCACCACATGGGCGTTAACCCCTATTATCTTTATAATGAGGAGTAAATTGATACCATAAGGGAAACTTAGGTCCCGGTTAATCATGCGATTCAAAACCGATGCCATCCATGTATTGCAGCTTGTAATCGTATAAACTAATCCTTTTTATGAAACACTTTACGATCAAAGATATTGTTGATCAAAGGACTGAACAATCATATCAGGGAAGTGATTGAACACTTATGTCAGGGTAACCAACAAATATCTTTATGTCAATGGCATATGCTTGGTCACACAGGCGACACTGTTGACTGAACAACATAATAGTATATAATGACTAATACTGTATTTTTGTGTGCCCGCGATGCTAGTGAATTGCGTAATATTTAAATGTGGATTCTCCCCAGGTATCACCAAAAGAACAATATGCCCGTAGTGCTCATTATATGCTCATGTGTTTTCAACCAAAAAGCTCATTCGAGCGCACTAGCATTCACATAATTATTTTGAAAAACATCATGGTTTATTGCAATCGATCTCCTGTGGTGCACCAGCAACAAGCCGCCGCGGTTGACACACGTGAGCAGTCGACAAGGTTACCACAGCGTAATTAGCGTAATTAGTAATTAGTTTAAGTGCGCTTGGATGAACTGCTTTTTGACTTGGTCACATTTGCTCCGATCCATCGGCCGGCGCCCGGCCGATTGAGTGTTTTGTTTAATATTGTATTCAATTTTGAACAAAATGCTCAATCGGCCGGGCGCCGTAGTGAAAATCGGACTAAATGTGACCAAGGCATAAGTTGAAAATGTGCGAGCATGTGATTTGCAACGCATGTGTTCATTGTTATTTTCCTGATACCAAGGGGGAATATTTATACAATGCACTAGCCTGAGGGCAGTTTTTAAAGAAAACTTGTACGTGAACGTGAAATTTATGACCAATGAGATATTACTGTTTCCCTCTCAATTAATATTTCAAGGAACCTGATTGCAACTATTGCCGGTGAACACTATTAAGAACCAATTCCTAAATGATGACCACACTTCTTCACTTTCAAGTTCAAGTTCATTTAAAAAACGAGTAGACTCTTTGCAAAGAAAAATATAGTGCTGATACAAAATAATAAAGGGTGCGTTTTCAAACTAAACAGAGTGCTCCTTATCTGATAGATAGAATGCACAAATAAAACAAAAGTTTTGCTATTATAGGTAAAAAGTTCTCTTAAAATTTCGAAGTGATTTTTTCTGTTTATTCTGTCATCGGTCCGCCATTTTTGTGGAAGTTACACTGAAACGCAAACTCCAAGAAACGAAACGAAATCACTAGAAAAAACTACGCCACACATCGTGCGCATGCGCAACATGAATTATTTGCTTCTGGGCACTTACCATAAAAGATAACCACAATGAACAAACCTGGCGGAGGTTACCCTAACTTCATTTTAGCGAAATTTCAGCTCAAACTCGTGACAAATGCATTATGCATACGCTGGTATGAAGCCTTGGAGACACTCATTTTGGTAAATACGATTTATGGTGTATACTTTTCTGCAGTTTGGGGGAGTTTTAGACATTAAATGTAGAATTCAAGAAAATATGCGACTTATACGACTTATCAATTAATTTGTATCAGCACTGTAGTGTGAAAACTATATGTTGTACTTAAAATAAATATGTCTGTATCATTTCAGTTTGTGCTAATTTGGTTATTGTACTTGACATATCCTGTTCGATCTCGAAGGGAATGAGAACGCGGATACGAGACACGGCTAAAATGGTCGCTGAAGCCATACTCGCAGACCCCAGAAACGATATCAACATCGGTCTAATCGCATACAGCAAAGATGTCCATCATATAATATATCTAAGTAAGTTGTTTAGTTTTTTTTATATTGGATTTGAGCATTTATTCTTTTTATTACCGTGAACTTGAATAATGTTAATTGAAACTCGAGTATTAAAATTTGGTTTGTATTCTTTTTTAAAACTCGAGAGTCGGTATGTTTCTAAATACTTCAATATTTTGTACGACCTCTTGTTCGCATAATTTTAGACTAATTAAAACGTACGGTCAATTTTAAATATCATTGTCATAATAATTTTAGACAACACGTTCAGCCAAAATGAGCTAGTAGATGCAATAGAAAACTCTCCAATAACCGGCACTGCATGCCGTACACAAACAAATGAGGCACTTGACGATGCTAACAACTTTTTCTTCAAAACGCGTGATCCCAACGACCCCAAGGCTCAGATTCTTTACTTATTCACTGACGGCTTCACTTATAAAAGAGTGTTGATTCCTGATACTGTCGCAAAAGCTAAAGTGCTCAAAGATGCTGGGGTGATCCTTAACGTTATACAAGTTCCCCATAAGTAAGTACTCAAAGACGCTGGGGTGATCCTTAACGTTATACAAGTTCCCCATAAGGAAGTATTAAACTCATATTAGAGAGTGAAGTATGACTTGTGTATATGCGTATATCGTATCAGCGAAATGAAAAGTTATTTTCCCAAAGATACGAACTTATACGTCATACTATGTCCCGATCTCATGTCATTTAAAAAATACCAGCTTAAAATGGTACATCTATTTTTCGGGAGACTCTTGAACAATGCTTTTAACATGATAATTACCTTGTTATATATCAAAATACAGGTATTTTTACTTTTATTTTTCCTTTTTACGTAAGGGACGCTTAAAGAACTCTATTGAATTTGAAAGTGCGCATTTTTACCATGTAAAACGTTGCATTTAGTGATTTTAAAATATGGTAATTTGATCATAACTTTTTTTATTCCTTATCCAATTTACCTCAAATTTGGTATGGGGCAACATTTGCCAAAGGTTATTTATGAAGATGGTTATGGTTATGGTTCGTCATCAAGAAATAGCAAAAATGTGTAAAACTCAAAAAGACAAACAAAAAGGGTGTCGAATTTTGGCTTGCAACCGAAGATACCTCAAGAAAAGCCAGAGACTGCCGAAGATTTTCTGTGCAAACGAAGTTGGCCGAGGGTACCACGCATGTGAAGAGGACGTCTCTAATTGGTCAAAAAGAAAGGCTCGGCATTCTCCAAATTCGGTTGTATGGCTTATCTGCGGCTGCATGGCCCAACCTCGATTGAATGAAAAAGATGCTGTCCCCAAACAAGAACAGTACCTAAAAAATCAAAACTATGCACAAAAAAGTCATTTAGACTTATTGGTGCCAGTGTGCATTGAAGAGATTGAATATTGTACATCTTTGGAATATTGAACGGTCGACTGACGAGCGTGCATTGTGGAGATTGAATATTGTACATCTTTGGAATATTGAACGGTCGACTGACCAGTGTGCATTGTGGAGATTGGATATTGTACATCTTTGGAATATTGAACGGTCGACTGACCAGTGTGCATTGTGGAGATTGGATACTGTACATCTTTGGAATATTGAACGGTCGACTGACCAGTGTGCATTGTGGAGATTGGATACTGTACATCTTTGGAATATTGAACGGTCGACTGACCAGTGTGCATTGTATTGGAAGAGATTGAATATTGCACATCTTTGGAACATTAAACGGTCGATTGACCAGTGTGCATTGTATTGAAAGAAAATGACTTCTCATATATGTTGAATAAAGACAGTCTACTGACCAGTGTGAATGACAATGGAAGAAATTAATACTGTGTATCATGGCACATAGATAGGTATTTAGAGTAAAACGAATTCCAGGTGTATGTTTTATTGATGAAGATAATCCGATGTTTCTTAATGCAATATGATCTATATTTCAATAAATGTCTAACAGGATTACAACAGAAGCATTTATGTAAATCCATGGCAGGGGTTTATGTTGTATTTAAGAATATCTTGCAATGCATTTACATATTAACCGCATTTATCTCTGTGGTTATGTTGTCATTGTTTTATTAATGTTAACAATTGTCATTAAAACATCTAAGAAATCTTTGAGTAGAAATTAAACGAATTTAATCGCAGCAAAGTAATTTACCTCAAAAAGAAAACTGTTTCCGAAGTATCTCACAAAAAAGGATACGCTGTTTAGTAATCTCAAATCAATTAGGACTTTAATTTTGTTCTTTTTTATGAGATATTTAACCTATAAGTATGAGTTTTCTCTAATTTGTATTTTATTATTAATTACAAATTATTTAAAGTTTTTAGAAAAAAGTAAATCCTCTGTAACCAAGAAAATACAAGGATTGAACAATTCATACAATTTACATCTAAATGTTATTTGAAAGAAAAAAGTAATAACAATTACAAAGAACTATCCAGAGAGCTCTAAATGATTTAATGAATTATCAACAATCTACATTTTTGTTTAAGTCTGTTACGATCATGCAAACCTTAATGATGTCATTAATAGATTTTAATGCCGTGTAATCATAGGATAGGGGTCGGAGGGGGGGGGGGGTCATAATGAAACACCATGTATATACTTAGGTGTTGAACGAGAAAGTAAGCCACGAAGTATAATATATATATTGGTCACCATTGTCATGATTGTGATGAATTGTCTAACGTTTTTATCATTTTAGACGAGGAAAAACCGACACAGACGAGTTCCAAACCCTACCAAGTCCTGACCGCCATTTTAAAATCGATTCTGACATGGTCGCCGTTGACCTGTACGAGAAGATGTCACTAGATGCGCCTTGTGAACCGTTCTATGGAGAGGTGTGTATATTTAATTGGCGGCCATCGAAGTGAAATATGTATCCACTCTAAAATGTTTATTTTAAAAGCATATTTAATGTTTGAATATTGTGAATAAAAAACGTATAATGCAAACTGAGAAAGTGTTTGCATGCATTTCATAAAACATCCGGGATTTTTATTTTTCAGTATTAGCATAGACAGAGGCTTGCTGTTGAGAACCCTGGATGATAGTAATGTTGACAACATAATGTGGACAACAACCTAGGCTTAACATATGAGCTTTTGTAACATCATTTGAATTTGTTGAATGCATCTCCATGACATTATGTCGTGCTTCTTATGAACTAATGATTAACAAATATTGAAACAATAAAGATCAAAATCAATGACATTTGTATGGTATAATTATCTCTTATACTTGCTTATACATGTACAATGTGTGTACTATTAAAATATGAATAATGTCACGATAGTAAATAACAGTTATCTTGATCAAGTTGTGTTACACTCGCTTGCGTAAGTTTGGAAACCAGACGTTTTCATTTGGTAGCATATCAAAGCCTGTCAATCTTAAAAGTGTTTTTCTTAATTAGAGTTGTTCGGAAAGTTATAAAAAATGTAATGCTTTTTTAATCGGCCAACATCTAAAGGGCTGTACCAAATTAAGTGTTATCGTTGCAAATATAATATGCGGCATTACACGCAGGTCAATTTGCAAGAGATACGGTATTACGCAAATTTAAATTCCTTGTGTTGTACCTTACCGTTACCCTGCGTTATACATTCTTGGTTTTTGTAGCTATTAGAACTATGAAATTAACTAGGAAATTATCTGTCTAGGATGTTATCATAAACATTTATATATAAAACATAAAGATATCTGGAACCTATACAAGATCTTTCTGAAACGATGAAAACATTTACCTCGCACTTTCAACTGTCACGCTTAATTGGTACACACCCTATGAACAGAAACATGCTTAATTGGTACACACCCTATGAACAGAAACAGGCTTAATTGGTACACACCCTATGAACAGAAACAGGCTTAATTGGTACACACCCTATGAACAGAAACATGCTTAATTGGTACACACCCTATGAACAGAAACAGGCTTAATTGGTACACACCCTATGAACAGAAACATGCTTAATTGGTACACACCCTATGAACAGAAACATGCTTAATTGGTACACACCCTATGAACAGAAACAGGCTTAATTGGTACACACCCTATGAACAGAAACAGGCTTAATTGGTACACACCCTATGAACAGAAACAGGCTTAATTGGTACACACCCTATGAACAGAAACATGCTTAATTGGTACACACCCTATGAACAGAAACAGGCTTAATTGGTACACACCCTATGAACAGAAACATGCTTAATTGGTACACACCCTATGAACAGAAACATGCTTAATTGGTACACACCCTATGAACAGAAACATGCTTAATTGGTACACACCCTATGAACAGAAACATGCTTAATTGGTACACACCCTATGAACAGAAACATGCTTAATTGGTACACACCCTATGAACAGAAACAGGCTTAATTGGTACACACCCTATGAACAGAAACATGCTTAATTGGTACACACCCTATGAACAGAAACAGACGTTGATAAGTGAGCAAAAGGGAGCTTTCGATTACTAAACCTATGGAAGGGAGTGCATATCGTTTCTCATTCCTAATTCTATAACCGTAAACAACTATTTTAAGATTTAAACACGTCAGTCCATCATTAGAGAGGTTAAGCTACATGTATAAATGCAAACCGTGAACCTGAACGCGTAAGTCCACGCTCAAGTACACGTTTAAGAAAATGTTCTGTTAAGCTACACGTCTGAAACCATGTCAGTGGACGTGGTGCTATATTTATGTGGTGAGCGTTTTGTGGCATGTCTCTATGGTGTAATGGATAGCACTTCGGACTCGTGTCCATTAGACCTGGGTTCGAATCTGGTCGCTTAAAAACATTGTGTTTTTTATTTTTGCTTTATTTCATATTCAACCACAATTAAATGATCTAGTGCGCCCTCCATTATGATCTCCCCATGAACAAAATAAATTCATCTGATTTTTCAAAATAAAGAGATGGCAAACCAGGAGTCTTTGTGTGTCCGTCAAAATCCATTTGCATCGTAATGAAACATAACAGTATAATCTTTGGATTTACAAAGTTGTATGGTATTTCATAAGTGTAAAAGTTGCTTTGGAAGCATTTTTCTATAGCCATTTTGTAGGAAAAAATGATGAAAAAATGTATAATCTTTTAATTTGAAGTGTGACCTGAATCGATTGCAAACTTTATATTTGCACATCTGATGTGATATACCATTTGTGTCATATTAATTGTGAAATTGTTTAATTTGCAATCAATTCAGGTCATTCAGTCATTCAGATTCAGGCAAATCAAATGTAGTGATAATGCAATCGTAGGCCCTGGTAGTCATTTCATTTCGTTTAGTAGCCATATTGTACCAAGCCCCGGGTATCAAATTGGCACTGCTTATTTATATTGTACGGAATGAACAAACGATTACACTTGAAGTTGTCATTTACTCATTAAAATGTATTCTTATTTCCAATTAAGGATTGGGGCTTACACTTATAACAAGTAAGATTGTTTGTATCAAATATGGGCTCCCGGGCCATCCTAGAACATAGCTAAAATCAATCACGTAATGAGCGACGTGTAATCACTTATCTAAACGTAAAAACCTGTAACTTTCACGCTTACCTGTAGAAAGTAGACTAATCTGACGTCATTTTCCTGCGCGCGCATAGAAGTACACGTTCATGCTTTGTTGAATACGCGTCTGTAAATTGCACGAATATGATAATCTCATGTAAAGACTTGTAAACTTCACGCTGGCCCACAGGAAATAAACAAATCTGACGTCATTTATCTGCGCGCGCATTGAAGTTCACGTTCAAGTTTTGTTAAATACGTGTAGCTTAACCTCTCTATTGTAATTCAGGCAATGCGAAGCCGCGTTATATGAACGGGTGACTATGTCAAATAAATACAAATGAAGTCCATTGTTTACATAGGTATCATACAATGCAGTCCATCATTATAAGACAGACAATGTTGAGCTGCGTTATATGAATGGGTGAATATGTCAAATAAATACGATTGAAGTCCATTATTTACATAGTTATCATACAATGCAGTCCATCATTATAAGTCAGACAATGTGGAGTGGCGTTATATGAATGGGTGACTATATCAAATAAATATGAATGAAGTCCATTGTTTACATAGGTATCATACAATGCAGTCATCATAATAAGTCAGACAATGTTGAACTGCGTTATATGAATGGGTTACGCAGTCAGACAATGTCAGACTGCGTAAATGACTGAATGGCCATAAATACGATTGAAGTCCAAAGTATAATCCGGAATCTGAGAAGCCTTTCATATAATTATCTCACAAAAGTCAAAAGAAAATCCAATAATGATGTTTTAAGCCACATAACATTAGTTTTGGTTCATGATTAAAGGAGATATTGACATTTTAAGACCATATAGGGGCATGTTGTGGTTTCACTTAAAACATTTTCGTCTTTAATTTGGAAACTTAGAACATTTTTTGGACCACAGTAATCTTACAACTAACGAGTTAGGTAGGATGCAAGTTTATACTCCATTATGTGCGGAATTCAAAGTTAAACAAAGTCAAAATTCTAGGTTTTTCAGACCGCGGCTAAAAATGTTAGGGTAATGGTGCTGAAGGGTTTAAGAATCGCGAACGTTGAACTTAACATTTTATACATTTTCAGTAATATTTGGTTATGACTTACAATTTCTGCAAATTTCAAGACTAAGAAAAATGTTTGGTACCAACAAAAATGTTAGACCTGCAAAATATGAAAAGATTCCTGCAGTTGGAAATATAGCCCGTTGTAGCGGTTCATTTTTTAGGCCATCTTGAATATCATGATTATTTGCAACGGTGTATGGACGAATAGATTTAAACACATCAAGCTATCATGTTAATTATTTGCAAGATGAAAAATGTTATTTAGAATTTTAAATGAACGTCCCATTACTATGGATTTTTCTGGCATACTCGGGTACACGAATGGGCAACCAATAACGTTGATCGACTTTTTAAAAAGTTTAACTTCAAGTAGCTTAACGATTGAAGTATATGATTTATGCACTACATAGGTTCAAAGCATCCTTGAAAACAGTGCTATAATTTATATCTATTTTCAAAAGGCTATAAAGAAAAAACACAGTTGAAGAAAAAAGATGGCACGCTATCTTATCTTCGCTCTACATAAAATATTTTTTCTTATAGTTTGTATTGTAAATCGATGGATAAATACCATTCCTCAACATAATCAAGTGATAAATACCATTCCTCAACATAATCAAGTGATAAATACCATTCCTCAACATAACCAAGTGATAAATACCATTCCTCAACATAATCAAGTGATAAATACCATTCCTCAACATAATCAAGTGTCATTTTATTATACAATAGGTCGCCATAATGTTCAAATACCTCAACGTAGTACTATAATAAAATCTACCATTTTGACCACCATACAATGTGTTGCCTCGAATCACAGGCCTGATAAACAGTATATGACTAGTAAGTGATTTGTACGAGAGTGATTTCATTTCGACTTGACCACCATACAATGTGCTGCCTTGAATCACCGATGTGATTTGTACTTGATCGATACTATGTGGATATCAATAAAGCCTTATTTGGTCTCATTTTAAAAATAGGTCTAAATAATTTCAACTTTATCCGCTTCCCATAGTACTTCGTTGATACTATTTTTAGTTATAATGGTTTGTTCTCATAAGGCAATTGATTTATTGTTAATTAATTGATTTATTGTTAATTAATGGAGTAAAGAAAACTGAATGAATAAACGGAAGTAAACAAGCAATGTAAAGTTGGTTGTACAAAAGAGAGTTGTCCAATAAGGATTATATCCCAAGGCGCAATGTCATCCTTTTAAGTATATGTTTACGTTCCCTTTTAGGTGTTCTCTCAAAAGGAATAAACTGGATGCACAATTGTTTGTAGCTTACATATGAAACCTGTGTTAATCTTCCGTTGATCTTCCCAATGTCAATACGATCTGGCATTATTATAAATGAATCTCTTATAATGTCTTTCAGGAACAAAGTGTGACAAATGGCAATAAACATTTATTGTTTCAAATGGATCAATCAGTCAGAAATTATCGACTTTTCTAAACATATTTGATGAAATATTACATTCTACAGACAGACAGAGAAATAAATTTTGTGGAATTAGACTAAATCAGTTCAACAAATCAAGGAAATGTAATACATAAACATGATGTATCACATTCAAGTTAATGAGGCTGTTTATCTGCTAATTCAGGAATACTCTAGGGGCATTTATGGCATTTCAAAATGAATCTAATTTGAGATAAATGAATTGATGGAAGCAGACCTTATTATACCCATGCGACTTGTACCCAAAGCCATTTTACCGAAACTATTTTTTAAATTATAAAGATTTTGAAGGAAATATGTAGATTGTAAGTATTATTGAATCGATC